GTGTTGTTCTTACTTGAACAATATTATGATTACCACCTCTCGCAAGCATCCACAATTATAAAAGAATAATTAAGATAAATCTAATCATAGCATGAAACATATGGATCCAAATCAGCTCTTGCAGAATAACAGATAAACTAGGGTTTAAGTTTTGGTCACTCTCGCAACCCATCATCTACTTATTACTTCCCAATGTCTTCCCTTATGCCCAGGTATGGTGAAGTGTCATATAGTCGACATTCACATGACACCACTAAAGGAAGAACAACATACATATCATCAAAATATGAACGAATGCCAACTTCATATGATTACTTATAACAAAACTTCTCCGATGTCCTAAAGAACAAAAGCAACTACTCACAAATCATATCCATGTTCAAGATCACAAGTGTATTCAATATGCTTAAGGATCTGAACATATATATAATCTTTCATCAAATAAACAAACTAGCATCAACTACAAGATATAATCAACACTACTAGCAACCCACGCGTACAAATCTGAGGTTCTGGGACAAAGATTGAATACAAGAGATGAACTAGGGTTTGAGATGAGATGGTGCTGGTGAAGATGTCGATGAAGATTGGTCCTCCCATGACGAGAGGATCGTTGGTGATGTCGATGGCTTCGATTTCCCCCTCTCAGAGGAAAGTATCGCTCCACTGGAGAGCAAAAGTGCTCCTGCGTAGGTTTCGCCTCGAGATGGCGACGCTTCATCCCGAAAATCTTCTTCTGATTTTTCTAGGGCAAATAGCATCATATAGGAGAAGAAGGGCCCCGAAGGCCTGCTGGTGGGGTCACGAGCTCACCTAGCGCGCCCCTGGGGAGGGGGGCAATCTGAGCTCGTGACTCTAAGATGGGTCCCCTCTTGGTATTTCTTCTGTCAATAGTTGTTATTAATTCCAAAACAATTCTGGGTAAATTTCCAGGTCATTTGGAGCTCCGGAGAATATCTATCTCTGTGGTAGCTTTTTCAGGTCTAGAACTCCAGCTGCCGACAATCTCCCTCTTCATGTGGAACTTGCAAAATAGGAGGGAAAAGACATTAGAATTGCTTCATAAAGTGAAATAATAACGCAAACCAATATAAATAACAGTAGAAAAACATGATGCAAAATGGTTGTATCAACCTGCCGTGGTGGGGACGTCGGCTCCATCTTCACGCCGTAGCGCGGCGGGTTTGGTTACTCCTCCTTGACCCGCGTCGGCGACGGTTGGCGCCAGGCCCATCTGACAGAGCGAGCACTCCGTCATGATCTCCATCTGACGGACGAATTGTTCATCTGTCAGAGCCGCCTCCGTGAGGAGGCGGCTCTCGCTGCTTTGGTCGTTGCTGTTGTTTCTGGTCCTCCTCTTTGCTGGAGGAGCCGGCCGCCGTGGACGCCGAGGGGCCTGGAGAGCGTCGGTGGCGGCGCCAAGATCCACCAGAGGATGAACTCTCTCCGCCACCGCCTACCGCCGTGGACCACCACGACTTCGGCATCGCCGTTGTAGGAGAAGGAGCTCGGAGGGGCTCAGAGAGGAGGGGATCAGAGAGGAGGAGGTGTGCATGTGCATCATCGGAGTACAACTTATATAGCCGCGGCCAGGCCTGGCGGCTGGTCAGCCCGCTTCAATGCGGCACAGCGGACGGAGTTGGTTTCTCGGGACGCGGCGTCCGCATTGAAGCAGTGACGCCCGAGAAGTCACGTCCGATCAAATCGCAACAGGCGACACGAATGTTGCGCGGCAAGCGGCGCCGGTATTCGATGAGAAGCGCGGAGAGGCAGCCGGGTTTTTTTGGCGATCCAGGCAGTCAGACGCGGGTGCGGTAACGGTCCGGACCGCACACACACACAAGTTTGTCTACGGTTTGCGGGGAAAACATGTTGAACCGGCGAACGGACCGATACAGAACGCCTTGGATGGCTGAACACGTTCGGAGCGAGTGACCGGACGTATGCGGACGATTTGAGAGTCCGCGTTGGAGATGCCCTAACCTAGCATTATCCAACGGCTTTGCCCAAACCAAACAAACTTACAAATGCCTCTCTCGCTTTCCCAGCCTCCAAACCCTGAGACGGTGAAATGGACATGCGTGTCATTCTCAAGCCTTGCGTGCATGCCCACACCTCTCCGAGTTTATTACAGCTCCGAATAATTGCTGCACGGGCGGTCCGCTGGCTGGCTTATTAGCAAGGAACGGGGTAGAGAAGGAGGGCGCCACACCACGCAAAAACACCCAAGACGCCCGATTCGGGGAGCCCAACAACCAAACAGCGACGATCGCCATCGCCCGTCAGGATAGGGGAGAATCGGCCAATGCGGGTCGTGTGGGTGCACAAGTTCCATTTCTGACGAGAGGGATTGCATCGGTTGGAGGGATCCGAGCTTCTGTTTCCCCAATAGTCTTGGGCCAAATCAAAGTCCCCATCACCACCATCACTGTTTCACCACCTTGTGTGCGCAAGGCACCGCTGGTATTTATCGGGAGAGCGAAAGTAAAGCGCTCCTTGAAACAATGGACGGGCATGGTCCAAGGTTGGTGCGCTGTCCGTCTCCGTCCGTCCACGGATTTTTGGGTTAAAAAGAACAGAGCTAATCATTTCTTCCCCCTAACCTAGATGACCGGCTATCTAGACTAGACTTACATAAGCAACATGATTCTTCGTCTTGTGATCTAGAAGAAGCTTGGGACAATTCCAGTAACAGACGCCAATTTTTGGCTATTTGGGTCATCTGAACTCAATGTTGTCCGGCAAAATTTTACTCCCTCCATCCCATATTAGTTGCCGCTGAAACGGATGTCGTACTACCTTGGAAGATGTCATGAAAGATTGACAAAATCTTTCATGATTTGCCCGTCCTTTGGACGCAACTTTTTCGGCTGGCTCTAGCCGGAGCACTTATTGGTGTGCATCAAACTATGCCAGTAAAGACAACGGGGGCGACGGGGTCCCAGGATTCCATTGTTTTTGTTATCTCCCTTCTATCATGGTGAGAGCTTGATCCAAGAATGACCTATAAGATGAGAACTCGCAAAAAGAGGAGCCAGCGCACGCTAACCAAAGTGGCCGGCCTCCACAGCGAAGCCAGGTAGACAAGTGCACAGGATTTTACCTGTCTGGTGGAAATCTCGAAAAAGAAAATTATCTCAGACCTAAATCCTGATGTGACGCACACCTATCAAGCAGATATGTCGAAGGTCCTGGAAACCGTTGAAGTTCAGCATTCAGGCATACTGGAAAGTAGGCAACATTGCTTAAAGGGTATCAATTAGTACAGATAGTTTGCTTCATAAGAAGCCAGAAGCAACTTCTCACGATGTGGTAACTAGCAAGCAAAACGTGCATTATTTCTGCTGCAACAATTGCAGGGAACATCAACATAGATTCAGCAATCCATCAACAAAAAAGAGCGAGCTTGTATGAAGCCCTCAGATCGGAAAGGCAATGTTGTTTGTTAGCCGTTCGCAATGGCAGGCACGACTCACAGGCACCAATTTTGCGCTCTTCTAAACTGTAAGTAAGCGTCGCCCGATGCTTCCCTTCCCATGATCATCCACTCCAACTGAACTGGAATGTAAGTAGGGGGAAAAGCATTACTGGCATATTTGCAGGATTATGCACATGAAGTTTCAAAAATAAAAAACAACACCAACTGTTTATTCAAATTTCGCGATGTCAATATTCATTGTTTTCCATATTAAAATGACCATTCCCTATCTTGAATGAGATAAGATCTGTCTCCACAAATGACGACCAACTCTAGATATCCACATAGGAAAGAGATACCACACTAGCAAGGATAGTAAATTAATGAAGCGGCCTAGTGTAGAGCACATCAACTATTATAATTTTTCAGTGGAAAGTACACACATCCTAAGCACACTACTGTAACTCTGTCGACAGAGTGTTGACATTATGCTATTCTGAAACAGACTGGACTGCAGGCAAAAGAAAAGGAGTATGACTTGATAATATTGTCTAACAAAGAGTACATCAGGGTAGCAAGTCCTGTGGAAGGAAGGGGCGTGATAACATTGGGAAAAGAATATTTAAGCAACTTTACTAGCCTTTCTGCACTTCACTGTGGACTTGCAGAAAGTACATCCACGATTCTTTGCTGTACCTACCATTATCCAGTCCTAGCAAAAGTTACATCCATGATTCTTGGTTTTAAGCACAGCTTGTTTCCATTAAAGTATCTTAACTCTGTAACTGCACCTGAGTGCAACTGTTTGGATGCACTAAAGAAACAAAGATGGTTTGTTCTTTTGTGCTCTCTGCTTGCCCCCAAGCCTACATTCCAGGAGTCTTGAAGCACTAAGGCACTATGGTTATTAGTGTAGTGGGTTGTCGAAAATCAGGCCATAGAAGTGCTTTATGAGTTGTTCTTTCCGCTTTTATACAGGGAAAAATGAAGCACCCCAGACCACAAATAGCAGGCATGAAAGAAAAATAAAATGAGAAGTCAACTTAGATACCTCAATTTCTCAGTCCAACTCTAATTCGTTTAACTATCAGCGATTGGGAATCCATGACCAATCAACTGACTTAATAACTTTGTAACGAGTTGAGCAATCCCACTCAAGAAAATTTAGTCCTACCGCCCTAGCCAAAATTTCTTATTTCACAAACTTCCTTCTCGTTTCTCACATAGATGAAGGTGAAATTTATTGATTTAACAGCTTATCCGACACCCAGTGTTCCATCTTATGGATACCTACACCAACATTTTCTGTATAGACTAATATCTTGAGTTTTGACCATCTATAAGTGGAATGGTACGATCCATGAAGTTCCAAATCGGCATATCAGCTCCTTTAAAAACAGAGTTCTGCGTGTTCCTACAATTAAGTGCACTGATGTAGGATATGCTACTGGTTAAAACAGCTAACATAAAATGACGGTCTCGTATCCGAAACAGACCACCTAAACAGCAAATTCTGAAGCAAAGAACATAAATGTTATCAGTGGAAAAATAGCATGAGTATGAAAATTACCCCCAAGTCTGCTCAAGCCCTCATTCGCCGTTTAGGCTTCTTGACAAAGCTCATTTTGAGCTTGTACAGCCGCTTGCTCTTTAATATCTTCTTCTCCGGTAAAGTCAGCTTTTTCTTCACCTTCTTCTCCTTCTTCTCTTTCACATACCTCTTGTCAATCTTATAGACTCCTGGTGTCACGGTAACCCCACGCGCTACTGCCTCCCTGAACAGCGCATTTGAACGATCCCCTAAATTATGACTAGCCAGCTTCTCAATCAGCAAGCTATATGATTTCGTTCCAGGTGCATGCCCGTATCCTTTCATCAGACGGAACACCTTGACAGCATGCTCAACCCTCTCAATCCCACATAAAACCTTGATGAACCCATAATACGCCTTCCTATCAAGTTTATCTCCAAAACCTGCAGACCTCATCCAAATCATCAATTCGTCCCCTTCAGAGGTCCTGGCAGCCTGGTACAAGCTCTTGATAAGCACAAGATATGTGTCAGCATCTGGCGAGCATCCCCACTCGCCCATTTGTCGGAACAGATTCATTGCATCCTCAGTCCTGCGAATCTTACAGAGATTTTTTATCAGTACCCGGAACGTTCCCGCATCCCGGGGAATGCCATTGGCCTCCATGTCAACTAAGAACTTCTCTGCCTCTACAGGCATCCTTAACGGGTCTTTCTTGCGGCAGAGACGGCAGACACAATCAAGAACAGCATTGTAGGCATCCAAACCTGGCTGGAACCCACCATTTCGTGTCTCACCGATGAGCCTTAGCGCATGGTCAAGCTTACCAGCATCAGCATAACCAGATACCAGCAAAGTGCAAATATTGTCATCCGGGAAGATCTCATGGGCGATCTTCTTGACAGCACGCTCTGCAAGCTGTGGGAAGCCCTCGGACGAGAGGGAGGAGACCAGCGAAGTGAGCGCCCCACGGGTGCGAAGCTCCCCAGGCAATTCGTCGAACACCTTGAGCGCGTCCGTGGCGCGCCCAGCTCTCGCCAGATGAAAGAGGTAGGCGTCGACTGTGTCTGGCCCTAGCGCGGAGGGGAACTCCTGAAGGAGCGTGCGGACGGCGGGAAAGTCGCGGCGGCGGGCGAGATGGCGGACGACGAGGGCGAGAGCACCGTCGGAGGGGTGGAGCGAGCGGCGGACGAGGAAGCGGAAAAGGTCAGCGGCGGCGCGCGAGGTGGCGGGAGGGGAGAGGGAGAGCGTCTCGGCGAGGAGCGCGTTGGTAGGGCGGACGTCGGAGAAGTGGAGGGAGAAGTAGGCGTCCGGGGAGGTGGCGGGGGGCGGGGTGGATGAGAGCTTGGTGACCGCGGCGGCGAGGGAGGAGGCGATGGAGGTGGTATCGGTGGTGGAGGAGGGGGTGGGTGTCGTGGAGAGGTGGCGAACCAACGGGGAGGGGGTGCCGGCCGTGGCCGGAGATGGGAGGAGGCGGCGGAGGAGGTGGCGGCGCCACATTTGGGTAGGGGAGGAGATCGAGGGAGCGAGGAGGGTTAGGGGAGGTTTCCACTGGGTGCCAGATCTAAGAGGCGCTACTAGGTGCAATCCCTGACGTTGATCTGAGATCGGCCGGCGAGGACGGAGCACGGGAGCAGTGGCGAACGACTTCCATTCAATCGTGTAAACATGTAAAGAAAAGTTAAGTGAAAGTGCATCCTAGGCTATTTCAAAGGTGTGATATGGGCGTGTTTGACATACTAAGAGCATGTCTAACAAAGCTCTCAAAAACTCAACCTTCAAAACTAGTTTGAGGGCTGAGAAAATATCGTTTTAAAAGCCGAAAATCCCTAACGTAGATCAGTGCCCTCAAACCAACCCTCAAAACAGAAAACCTTCAAAACAGGACAGCAATATAAATCAATCTCAAATTTGCAAATGATCATGATCACATACATGAAACAAACTTGCAAATCATCATCATCACATAGTAAATCCCATGGACATCATAGCAAAACATACAGCGTGCAAATGATCATCATCACATAGTCATTGAAGACATCATTTGCAAAACATAAAACGTACGAACAACTTCAAGCACCGGTGAAGTTGTCCACACCTCCATCGCCTCCACCACTCATCGGAGACTCACCTCGGACAGTAGACAACGCACCACCACCAGCACCACGCAGTAGCCTCTTCCTATCCGCGATGTTCTCCTTGTACTTCTTCCACCACGCCAATTGCTCTTCATCCATGTCCTTTCTAGACATCATCATGTGCTCCTTCTCCTCGGCCATGAGCTCCTTCCATGTTTTTGCTTCCTTGAGCTTGATCATCCTCTCCTTCATGTCGGCCTTGCGTTTGGCATCTTCTCGCCTTGCTTCCAATTGTGCAAGTTTCACCTCTTTCTTTCTCTCGGTGATAATAAGCTTTGTCTCCAATGCCTTCCTTGCCAATGTCTCCTTTGACTTGATCATTTGATCAATCTTTTCCCTCAAGCTTGATGCCTTTGCTTCCATCTTCATCCTTTCTTTTCCCTTCTTGGTTCCGTCGGGCTTGTCATGGTTTCTTCCTTCTTCATCACTATCATCCATTTTGAGCATATCCGGTTTCTTCGGTGCACTCTCTTGATCCCTCAGTTTTCATTTGTCAAAGATGTTGGAGCAATGCCCAACAATGCTTGAATGGGAAGGATTTGCCCTTGGAACCGTCCATGTCCTTGTACCTCAAGTCGGCATATTTCTCCTAAAACATATCATCATTGGAAGCATATCAAAATCACAACCAAGCATAACCAACAAGTAATAAGCATGATATTTGTACTCACATAATCACTCTCAACGCAGCCACTTGGGGGTTGATCCCTCACTTGATCCATAGCCGCGCTCCAACGAGCACAAGCGGGTTTCATCAACCCCCACCGGCCTTGAAGCGATCTGTAAGAACGAGCTCTCAATGTGGCAGTCTTGGGTTTCAGCTTGCAATACCTGTCCTCAATGCGTTGCCAATAGCGTTTCCCGGTTTGATCGGTGCCGATGACAGCATCCAACCCCACTTGCAACCAAGCCTTGACCAAGAGGACATCTTCAGCCTCCGTGTAGTTTGTCGTGCGAATTGGCCTTCGAGCACCACCTCCCGCTTCAAACACTTCCTCTCCGATCTCGGTGACATCTTCATCTTCTTCCTCCTCCTCACCCGCCGGCTCCTCAACATGGAAGTCGAAGGAAGCAAGTGGAGGAGACCCAATGTTCACCTCCGCGTCGTCGAGCGAGGCCCTATATGACACGGTTGGTGCAGACATTTCATCGAACACGTCGGTCGCGGTTGGTGGCGTTGGAGCGGTCGTGCTCGGTGGTGGCGGTGGTGGTGCCACGATATGCTTGGCACGACGGTTTGCAAGCTGCTTCTCCTTGCGCTTGGTAGCAACCGCGGTGGAGGTTGTCGGCTTGGCGGGCTTCGTCGCCTTCGCCGCCTTCGCCGCGGGGGCGGGCACGGGCGGCTTGCTTGGCACGACGTGGGTGCCCGCCCGCCTCCGTTTTTGGCCGATGTGGGTGGCCGCCACCATCTCCGCCATGGCGGCGTCGGTCGAGGTGGCCGAAGGTGGGAGGCGCGGGGCGGGGGTGGGCACGGGCGTGGCCACGGGCGCGGGCGCGGATGAAGCCGGCGGCGAAGGAGCGGCGGAGGGGGTGGCCGGGGGCTGGAGGGGCTCCATGGCCGGCGGCGGCGACAAGAACGGGCGGCGGCGGCGCGGATGAAGCCGGCGGCGAGGAGAGGAGGCTTGGGAATTTTCCCTCCCGTGCATAGAGCTGACCAAGTGAGGGTTGGGCCTTCAACTTGCCCCAAACCCTCACTAGTGCGGGTTGGCCTCGAACTTGAGGGTCCGGCCTGGATTTTTTTTTGAGGGTTTAGGGATTTGAGCGTACTGATCTGCGCCTTTTTTTGCTCAACCCTCAAACTGGCAGTTATTTTGAGGGTTTGACCAGTTTGAGGGCTTTGTTAAACATTCTCTAAGCTTGTCACCCCACTAGTTAAGCATGTTTGATGGAGTTTTTTTACGTCTAATTGAGTTAGCCTCATGTTTGGTTTGTGGCCGCACTTGTAAAAGAAACTTCTTCCATGCAAATTAGACCCCATGTGTCATTGACTCAGAAAAAATGTGGCAAGATTATGATTATCTCAAGCGTGCTAAAGTGTGACCTTATTTCTATCATCTAATCTTAGTCATGCCTGGTAAACAAGTGCAGCGAATGATGGCATCCTTGAATTTTAAAAATTGCCATCGTCTAGGAGTATCTTGAAGTGAGTTAGTGAGTGGTTCAGGTCATAACCTATCTTGACCCCTCCAGTACATTAGATATAAAAAATATGAAATCATGTGTAATATGGATTGCCACTCACAATACTTTTCTCCTCCTCCCCACCCCCCAAATTTCTTTCCTCGTTGTGGGGATTCAGAGGCAACGACAGGGGAAACCAGTGAGCAACCATGTAGGATGACGCTGCACTAGGGATCTGTTCCCAACATTATGGTTAGCTCTACACTAATCATTTCCTCGTGTGATTTGATATAGGGTTCGGTCTTGTTGTCTACGGATTGTGATTTTTAAGGTTTTGATGTTACGAGTTGTTTTGCTAGTCTAGTTGCTTGTATACGCTCTTTTTCTGATGGATATGATGATGATTTTCGCATGCATGCAGACACCAGCAACGAGGCCTTTTCCGTAGACATACATCAACCAGACATACTTTTTTGTGGTGATGGGACTAGAAATCAATCTTCTCTTGAGGTACATTAGTACCATAATCCAACACCAACTCCAAAATACTCATATGTTTAGGAAAATGTTATGGCAGGATCTGCCCCCCCCCCCTCTTTGGCAAAATCAAATTTCATATCAAAGGGAGAAACAAATTGAGTGATTTGAAAGCATAAGAGAAGAGAAAACTCGATTCTAGCCTTTGATTTAGGCCATTGAAGAACAACTGGCCTGAATTTGTATCCTATTTGGAGATGGTTTGCAACATTGTCCTCGAGCGGTAGGTGGAGAGAGAAAGAGCTAAACTAGCCATGGGGTCGAAGGTGGGAGAAATCAAGCTCCCAAACACGCTAAAGCTACCTCATGGGGCTACCACGAGGAGGAAGAACATGAAGGAAATATGCCCTAGATGCAATAATAAAGTTATTATTTATTTCCCTATATCATGATAAATGTTTATTATTCATGCTAGAATTGTATTAACCGGAAACATAATACATGTGTGAATACATAGACAAACAGAGTGTCACTAGTATGCCTCTACTTGACTAGCTCGTTGATCAAAGATGGTTATGTTTCCTAACCATAGACATGAGTTGTCATTTGATTAACGGGATCACATCATTAGGAGAATGATGTGATTGACTTGACCCATTCCGTTAGCTTAGCACTTGATCGTTTAGTTTGTTGCTATTGCTTTCTTCATGACTTATACATGTTCCTATGACTATGAGATTATGCAACTCCCATTTACCGGAGGAACACTTTGTGTGCCACCAAACGTCACAACATAACTGGGTGATTATAAAGGTGCTCTACAGGTGTCTCCGAAGGTACTTGTTGGGTTGGCGTATTTCGAGATTAGGATTTGTCAATCCGATTGTCGGAGAGGTATCTCTGGGCCCACTCAGTAATGCACATCACTATAAGCCTTGCAAGCATTGCAACTAATGAGTTAGTTGCGGGATGATGTATTACGGAATGAGTAAAGAGACTTGCCGGTAACGAGATTGAACTAGGTATTGAGATACCGACGATCGAATCTCGGGCAAGTAACATACCGATGACAAAGGGAACAACGCATGTTGCTATGCGGTCTGACCGATAAAGATCTTCGTAGAATATGTGGGAGCCAATATGAGCATCCAGGTTCTGCTATTGGTTATTGACCGGAGACATGTCTCGGTCATGTCTACATAGTTCTCGAACCCGTAGGGTCCGCACGCTTAACGTTTCAATGCCGGTTATATTATGAGTTTATGAGTTTTGATGTACCGAAGGTTGTTTGGAGTCCCAGATGTGATCACGGACATGATGAGGAGTCTCGAAATGGTTGAGACATGAAGATTGATATATTGGACGATTATATTCAGACACCGGAATGGTTCCGGGGGTTATTGGATATATACCGGAGTACCAGGGGGTTACCGGAACCCCCCCGGGGGTTATTGGGCCTCATGGGCCCAAAGTAGTGGAAGAGGAGAGGCAGCATGAGGTGGCGCGCAGCCCCCCTTGCCCCAATCCGAATTGGGAAAGGGAAGGGGGCGCGGCCCCCCTTCTCCTTCCTTCTCTCCACCTCCTCCTTCCCCCTTCTCCTAGTTGGAATAGGAAAGGGGGGCAAAACCTACTTGGAGTAGGATTGCCCCCCCTTGGGCGCGCCTCCTCCTCTTGGTCGGCCCCCTCCTCCTCCACTCCTTTATATATGTGGCCAGGGGGCACCACATAGACACAACAATTGATCTCTTGATCTCTTAGCAGTGTGCGGTGCCCCCTTCCACCATAATCCACCTCGGTCATATCGTAGCGGTGCTTAGGCTAAATTTTATTGTATGAGATGATCATGTTTTGTAACCGAGTTATCGGCAACTGGCAGGAGCCATATGGTTGTTGCTTTATTGTATGCAATGCAATCGCCCTGTAATGCTTTACTTTATCACTAAGCGGTAGCGATAGTCGTGGAAGCATAAGATTGGTGAGACGACAACGATACTACGATGGAGATCAAGGTGTCGCGCCGGTGATGATGGTGATCATGAAGGTGCTTTGGAGATGGAGATCACAAGCATAAGATGATGATGGCCATATCATATCACTTATATTGATTGCATGTGATGTTTATCTTTTATGCATCTTATCTTGCTTTGATTGACGGTAGCATTATAAGATGATCTCTCACTAAATTTCAAGATAAAAGTGTTCTCCCTGAGTATGCACCGTCGCCAAAGTTCGTCGTGCCCAGACACCACGTGATGATCGGGTGTGATAAGCTCTACGTCCATCTACAACGAGTGCAAGCCAGTTTTTGCACAGGCAGAATACTCAGGTTAAACTTGACAAGCCTAGCATGTGCAGATATGGCCTCGGAACACTGAGACCGAAAGGTCGAGCGTGAATCATATAGTAGATATGATCAACATATTGATGTTCACCATTGAAAGCTACTCCATTTCACGTGATGATCGGTTATGGTTTAGTTGATATGGATCACGTGATCACTTAGATGATTAGAGGCATGTCTATCTAAGTGGGGGTTCTTAAGTAATATGATTAATTGAACTTAAATTTATTATGAACTTAGTCCTGGTAGTATTAGCATATCTATGTTGTAGATCAATAGCTCGCGTTTAGTTCCCCTGTTTTATTTTTGATATGTTCCTAGAGAAAACTAAGTTGAAAGATTTTAGTAGCAAGGATGCGGATTGGATCCGTGATCTGAGGTTTATCCTCATTGCTGCACAGAAAAATTATGTCCTTGATGCACCGCTAGGTGACAAACCTATTGCAGGAGCAAATGCAGATGTTATGAACGTTTGGCTAGCTCAATATGATGACTACTTGATAGTTTAGTGCACCATGCTTAAACGGCTTAGAATCGGGACTTCAAAGACGTTTTGAACATCATGGACCATATGGGATGTTCCAGGAGTTGAAGTTAATATTTCAAGCAAATACCCGAGTTGAGAGATATGAAGTCTCCAACAAGTTCTATAGCTAAAAGATGGAGGAGAATAGCTCAAGCAGTGAGCATGTGCTCAGATTGTCTGGGTACTACAATCGCTTGAATCAAGTGGGAGTTAATCTTCCAGATAAAATAGTGATTGATAGAATTCTCTAGTCACCATCACCAAGTTAGTAGAACTTCGTGATGAACTATAATATGCAAGGGATAACAGAAACGATTCCCAAACTCTTCGTGATGCTGAAATCGACGAAGGTAGATATCAAGAAAAGCATCAAGTGTTGATGGTAAACAAAACCACTAGTTTCAAGTAAAGGGACAAAGGGAAGAAAGGGGAACTTCAAGAAGAACGGCAAGCAAGTTGCTGCTCAAGTGAAAAAACCCAAGTCTGGACCTAAGCCTGAAACTGAGTGCTTCTACTGCAAAGGGACTGGTCACTGGAAGCGGAACTACCCCAAGTAATTGGCGGATAAGAAGGATGGCAAAATGAACATAGGTATATTTGATATACATGTTACTGATGTGTACTTTACTAGTGTTTATAGCAACCCCTCAGTATTTGATACTAGTTCAGTTGCTAAGAAT